AAAATAATTAAATATAATATTATTAATTATATAAGTTTTTATATAAAATTATAGAAGAATTATTTTTAACATATATATTTAATTAAACAACTTTATAAGTTACCAAAATTATTGTCTTTCATAATTAGTCATTTCTTTATTTTTTTAGCTTAATAAAATGAGTGGAATATAACTCATAATGTAACTTAAAATATCATAAAGATAAAGTTACACTTTGATATTTTTTTTGTCATAAATAAAAAAATTCATGGGTTATAAATATATTATGAAATTTTCAAAACAAAAATACACAATTTTTATTCTCTACTACATATATGTTTTTATAATATTTTTCTCTAGAATACTATTATATTTTCTTTCTCTAAAAAAATATTTATTTACATATTAGAAAATCTGCATCCCCATCAAAGGAGATATTTTTACGTGTGTTAGTCAAAAACCATCTTAACTTACCAAACACCAAATATAAGTTATCAATTACTATGATTAAAAAAATAAATATAATTGTTATGACTAATTAATTAACTAATTATTTAACTCAAAAGTTATATTTTTGGGCTCCCTTGAATTTTTAGAGCATCATAAATTTCATTCTTTAATCTTAATTGTTTCCTATAATTTTAAATAAGTGGAATGAAATAACAAGATGATTATTTCGTATATTATTTACACATACAGCTTTAAAAGGTCAATAAATCTCATATTTTCTCCCATATTCCTTCGATGACCAGGAAAAAAATATGTTTCTAGTTTTACCATTGATTTTAATTCGATAACCTATCTATGTTTTAAGCTAAAATTCACTAAATAAATTATTTTTCTAGTTTTACTAGTGAATTTAATTGGATAATTTATCTAGTTGTACAAGCTAAAATTCATTAATAGTGATGAAAACATTATATTGAGAAGAGAAAAAAAAGTATGGTTTCAATAATTTATACTTAACTAAAAAATAAATAATATTTGAGTGGCTATCTTTTATTTATGAAAATTCAGCTTATTTATTTTGAATTTGATTATTTAAATTTAACAAACATGATCAAATATTAGACAACTCGGTTTCAATTTTACTATAAAACACATACCTTGACATATCACATAATTTCGTGTATCCTTAGGAGTTAGCTAAAAATATATAAGAAACTTATAAATGAGGCTTTCTAAAATATATAAGAAATATATATTTTTTATTTGTTTATGTATGTTTAACAAGTGTAGCCTTGGACAATCTTCATTTCAAAAAACATAATTAAAAAATATATTTTATTTATTTTTTGGATTTTCTGGATTTTTTTTTTTAAGATTAACATGGGTGTCCGGGCCAGTTTGCGTGCACCACAACTAATTTTACAGACCTTAAAGTTAACAACCATGTAAAACTTCAGTGGCCATCATATGAGCGAAAATATTTTATTTATTTTTTGGATTTTCTGGATCTTTTGTTGAGCGAAGGTGGTCATTGCCCAAGTG